AAAGGTGATTCACCCCTCCACCCTTAATGGCCTTAAACCATAAGTTTCAACCTAAAAATACATAGTATAAACAGTCCAAAAACAATCCAAAAACTGTAGGAAAAATAGCAAATAAATCAAAGAAACAAGCCAAGACTTGTACCTCTTGAAAAGAAGAACCCTTTCTAAGTGACAAACCAACACTTACACACCCTCAAGAGCTCAAAGTAAGCTCAAAAGTACCTCAGCTCAAATACCACAAGGTTTGATTTAGAGTGTATAGGCAAAGGCTTAAGAATTTGCAAAAGAGAGAAGGAATTGTAGAGAGAGAGAAATATTTTTGCTCCAAAATTTCCAACCCTCAAAAATGGAAAATGAGGTCTTCTATTTATAGAAAAACATGAAACTCCCTCAGAAATATTCATACAGACACGTGTGGGCAGATGCATGCACCAGTGGAAACAGCTGGCACAGCTGGCATAAATATCTGTAAAAACACACAAGTGGCCGGCAGGCCACATTGGTGGCTGGCAGCCCACACTAGTGGGCCTGCAAGTCCCAGGGTTTTTAGGCTTGAAAAACTGTGATTTTGGTCCAAAACAAGGCAAAAGGTATGTAGGGTTTGAAGGCTCAAAGTTGTGACATTCTACTGAGGACTTCGAGCACTTGACAAGCATATACAAATTCATCATTGGGCGGTAAAAAATGGGGTGTCTACAACCGGGGTGTCTACTCTCCACCTAAACATACCCATAATATCGATTTAAAAGTATTTGGTGCTGGAGTTCAGAGAAAAGTGATTGACAAAGGGTTAAAGACCTAGCCTAAACCCTAGAGAGCACTAGGGTGAGGATTGTGAAGGTCTATGGGGAAATTGGTTCTAGTTTTCATAAGAAACAAAGTTCTAAGATCAAATCCCAAACCTAAACTATGGCGAAGCAAGAATCAAATGTAACAGATCTGAAAACAATCAAGAAAAACAGAAAGAGAACATGATTTAAAATAAAAAAGGGCAACAATGTGGCGAGCACAGTGGTAAACAGTGACGATCCAAGAACATGAAAAATTACAAACACTAAGTGAGTGTGTGTGAGGCAGTGTGCAAGAACCATAGGCAATTCGAATACTCAAGAACTCAGGAACAAATTATGATGCAAGAACAAGAAATTACGACCAAAGCATGAAGATAGAGATAAAGTACAACTATAAAAAAGAATTCAATGGCAATAGATACAGTATTGGTATATATTCAGAACAATGGAAGACTGAACTAAAAGAGAGTGAGATTAAGAGCTTACCGAATGGGGCCGAGAACACGGACGTTGGAATGAGGTTCGCTGGAGTTGGACGATGATAATGGTTGTGACCAGACAATGAAAAAGTCGTCGAAAGTGGTGAACAGAACTGGTATAGAGAGCTCGTGAACGCAACAATGGAAGTTTTTAGAAATGTAAAGAGAGAAAATCTTGAGCAAAAGAGAGAATACGAGAATGCGAAGTGAAGAGACAGAGAGAGAAAGAAGAAGTTTTGTCAAAAATATGAAAAGGCGGCAAAACATAATGAGATGCCTTGGACGATGTGCTTGTCAGGCGGTGTGGGCAAAAATGGCGCGCCCTGATAACGCATGTCAGGTACGAATCAATGAGGAAAGGACGCGTATATGAAACAGTTGGAAAAGCTGTGCGTAACAGCTCATATGCAGTTAGAACTCTTGTAATTCTTTAAGTAATGAGGCCATAACCTCGGCTAGAGGAGCAACCTCAGATGAGATGCTTAAAGAACTGAGTTCTTGGTTCTTGAGTCTTGGGAAAGTGGACAATTGAGTCCTGGTTTTGCTGAAGCCGATGAATCATGATATCGGTCAAAGAGCAAAATGAATTTTTAGCTGACAAGCTATATGGACGAACGATGTAGGTTCCATTACTTCAGGTTGCCGAGGTAATAGAACCTAGAGGGCAGTTATTGGGAAGTATTTTGTGAAAGACAGCACGCGGCAAAGGTGACGCTGAAGTGTCAGTCGAGATGCCACGTGGCCTAGTCACGTGTCGAGATGATCTCAGCTAGGCTGAGGTTGTCTACAAAGATACCGGAATCCAAGATAAGCAGATAAGGGACAAGAGTCCTAGAACAGAGGAGGATCCCAGTCTGGATAAAGATAAGGCTCAAAAAGAGTTTATCTCTATCGAGATGAGGGTCCAGGATGAGCATTGAGTCTGATTCCATTGACGTGAGGCTTCTAATGGGATCAGGTCACTGCTGGTTATAAAAGAAAGGCACCTTCATGGGTCTGAGATAAGTTCTTTCTTGTGAGTTTAAGTACAATTTGCTATCTTTGAGAGATATTGATTACTGACTTGATCGTTGAAGTACCCCCGAGTGGACGAACCATCGCCAGATTCTCATATAAAATGTAAATTAATTAAATTATTTAAACTGATTATTTGTATATTATATTTTATGAGATGTATAGACTACTTAACTTTTTATTAATTTTAGGCACCAAAATTTAAATACAGCATATTTATAAAATTTATACATTTTAATATTTTAATTTAAAACTTGTTTTCGGCTGTAATGTTAATAATTAAATTTTATTACGCAATATTAATAATAGGGAAAATCACACTTTATTCCCATTAACTATTGCTCTATTTTACTTTATCCCTTAAACTAACAATTGTAATACTTGACCTCCATTATCTATGAATTTCTTTTTTTCAATCTATACCTCACTGCTGGAAAATAGACTTTTAGTGGCGTTTGAAAAACGCCGCTATAAGTGGCAAAAACGCCGCCAATTCCTTTTGTGACGCTAAGCACCAAACGCCGAGGACGCGGCCGTCGCTATAGCTTTATGGCGTTTTAAAAACGTCGTGATATTAGTATAGGCGGCGTTTTTAAAAACGCCGCCAAATGTCCTACCAAACGCATGCTGATGTCACTGACCATATTTAGCGACGTTTTAGAAAAACGCCTTCATATCTTGTTTTAAAGATAGATCCGTTAGTAAGTATGGTTTAAGAGGCATTTGTAGAAACGCCGTCATATCTCTTTTTTTTTCTTTTTTTTTTTAAATTGTGCTAATTTTATTTGATTGAGCTAAAAAAATACCTGTAATAGCACTAATATAAAATAATAGCTCACATTCAAATAGTTGTAATGAAGCATTAATTCACTTTCTCATTCAATTAATATCCAATCACCATTATCCACAAAATTAACATATCCAAAATCCAGAAATCATGTTTTAACATTAACCACAAACTAACATATATCTAAAAATCATGCCTTAACATTAACCACAAACTAACATATATCTAAAAATCATGCCTTAACATTAACCACAAACTAACATATATCTAAAAATCATGCCTTAACATTAACCACAAACTAACATATATCTAAAAATCATGCCTTAACATTAACCACAAACTAACATATATCTAAAAATCATGCCTTAACATTAACCACAAACTAACATATATCTAAAAATCATGTCTTAGCATTAAAGTTGTAATCTTCACTGGTCTACATGCCTGCATCAGAACATAAACTACAATCAGATTTACCAAAATAAACACAAATTGAAGAATTTGTACCCAATACTTATAAACAGTACTTAAAACTTGAAGAAGCACTAACAAGAAGATTTTATCACATACCAAGAAGCACTAAATAAATACATATAAAGAAAAAGGAAAAGATTTTATCACAATTTCTTCAACGTATGATCAATTTCACACGAGAGAGTATTCATGAACTCGAATCCAGGCAAGAGGCTACAAGTAAAAATTATACAAAATAACGTAAAAGGAAAAGAAAAAGAAAAAATATTTTTTTGATTAGAATGAACATTTCACAACAAAATAAGAATTCTAATTATAAGTAACTATTTTTATGGGCTGTATGCTCTCCTTGAACTCATAAAGTGTGGTAGTTCACAACTGAGATGAATCAACTGCTGAGGATACATACTATGCTTGTACAATCAAAATCATACAAACATATGTGCACTGAAGACACATATTAACAAGGCCCTAAAACATAATATGAACTAATACCTTCTTGAGAATTATGTCAAGAAGTTCTACCCCTGATTTTGAATCAAATACCTTAGCTTGATGGCTACTATTCCAAGAAAAAAAGAAACTTGAATTCATCTAAACTAGCAATTTACAACATGAAAAGTCAAGCCATGAATAATAAATGTGAAAAAGAAAACCATATTACATATCCAGGTAAAGGAGTAATCTGGAAGCAACAGGGGGAATTGTGTTGCAATTACAATAGTTGTTACCCCAGATGAGAAATAAAAACCTTTTTTTTTAGCTTTTAGGGTGTATTTTTAGTTCAAGATACGTCCTACTACTTGGAACCAAAGAATTAGTAGATCTATTCCGGTCAAATTGGGACTGAGCAAGGGTTTTGAACTTAAAATCTATGATCTGATCATTGAGTCAATTCCCAGATTATAATTTCCTTGCAGCAAGTGATTGAGTTCAGTAGTTTCCCATATATATTTTATCGACTCTAGAACATAGTAATATGTAGAAAAGAAATTGTTTCAAGAGCCAGCAGATATACCGAGAAGAAGGGAGGGAAAAACCTACCATAAAGCCACCTGTCTCTGTTTGCCACCAAGTGTCAGATATGGGGCATCTTGAATCTCCAACTATATTGAAAAACCACCTGTTAAGATGAAAAAGAAAACGTGTCATACTTCTTGTGTTCAAAAATGTAATCCAGCAACAAAAGTAGAGCTTGTAACCTCCATGCACTAGGATTTATAGGCTCGCCTACACTACTGACAATGAGAAAGAAGAAAACAAACACAAAGCAGTTATGCAGCAACATGAAAATTGTCGAGTCACTTTTCAAAATAAATTAATCAATAACATAAGCTCTACCTAACACCAATTTTGCTCAACCAACTCCAGATACTTGACAATATTTTTGATCAATTGAAATGAGTTAATAAAATTAGAATGACAACAAAATGACTGGAAGAAGGTCAAACTTACGTTAAGGTAGCGGCTAAGGGAAGCCCTTCAGGCACTGCAACAACCACAATAGTGACCTAAAATTCCTTCAGGTATTAGTAAAATACTCAAAATAACTATATATGAATATATACTAATTACAAATTATGTCTGTAAAACGGCACATACTGCAACAGTGAAAATCTTAATAACTCCATCTATGGCAGTACCAAACTTTAGTATGACCAGCCTTGAATTGAGGAGTTCCATCTGTGTTTTTGGTATGTCCAGTAAAGTATCTGCAGATACTCCAATTTATAAGTTTTACCAGTCCAAACTTTGTTTTTTAGAGAGAAATAGAGAATTGAGGAGAGAACTCAACAACTAAGATTGCAATTACCTTCTCAAAAGGACAAACAGAACAACTATAGCTACTGCAAGTCCAACGAAGCCAATAAATGATATTAGCCTAATTTGATGCTAAAGCTCAACATGATATCTAGTCAAGCTACACGCAAGTAAATCCGGACACTTGGTTGTATAAAAAAATAAAAAGGCATTACTAATAATATTTCAAATAGTTAGAATGCATACCTTCTTCATGGTTGGAGTCGGGTCTAAAACCGGGGTTAGGATGGCTTGTGATCTGGACCAGCTTCCAAGCTGTCGCTTTCCTTTCTCGGGCTTGAGGTTGGTGAATCCATTTGCACTGAATTGCAATACTTCCTGACAGCGAGCGAGCTGAACTCGACTGCACGACCGGTTCAAATGAACCGACGCTTTACGGTAATTATTCCCTCTAAGAAAATCAATCTGAGTGTGATCTACATACTTGTGCTTCAACAGTACCACTCTTTTAGCAGCTACATGACTTGTCAACCTCATCACCATGTCCTTCACAGTTGCAGACATTTTCCCCTTATTTCTTATTCAATCTTCCCTGCTTACACACACACACACACATATATATATACACACACACACAATAACCCATCAATTATAAACTCGTGTCAAGCCCCCAAGTTCACAAATTTTTGTGCTACACATCAATTATATAAACTCTGAATACTTACAATTACTTACAAATTATAAGTATTGATTGTGTTTTTAAAGGTTAACTCATTCTAAAATTCACCTTCTTAATTGTTGGACTACCTGTCCTGGTTCATCGTGAAACAATCTTACTTATTCATCATCATGGATTCATGGTATTGGTTGAACATTGATTATTTGTTTTCTTTCTTCTTTCTTTGCTTTGGTTTTTTGTTTTCTAAACCAGTGAGAAATTGGTTTATTTTACAAGGTAAGGTACAGTACAGTTCTATTAGGAAGATTACATGACGTGTTGGTATTTGAGCAGATCAATACATCAACCAAGAAAGTAAAGTCCATTCTTGGTTCATTCCAATGACATATATTAACATATATCCCTGACAGGATCCCAATGATTATGCAGAAAGATGGAACACCAACAAATCACAAATGAATTTGAATAAAGGTATTGATTGATTTTTAAATTGAAGCTAATTAACTTGCATACCTGGTAGGTGTATGTGGTTTGTACAGAGAAAATGAGAAACACTAATCTAATCAATTGGGTGGTGGTGCCCTGTTCAGGCTCTCTCAGATCAGAGACGTGTGCCTTCTGTCAAAAACAAAAATTACAGTTGGTGCCTTTTTATTAATTTTATTTATTTATTTGTAATTTGAGTGTTTTATTCGTGAGGAGGAGGATGATATGGAAAATGGGTGGTTGAAGAAATTACAATTATGGCGCTAAATCGCTTTGAAAGTAACTGTTGTTTGACTTGTGGGTAGATCATGTAAAGTCCCATGGAGTGGGAGGGAGTTGCTAATTCCACACCCATTATAGTGCACCCATCAAAAACTACTGGTTTACTTTTTAATTTTTTTGTGACAGTTCTATCTTAATGTATAATCATTATTAAGGTCAAAATTATAAAATTAAGGTCAAAATGAAGTAAATATGGCATACAAAACAATTGACAAGTATAATGCTTTTTTGTGTTCTACTTCAGACGACAGATACTGTCCATAATATTATATAGAATGTAAGCACTATCCGAAATCAAAACAACTCATTAAACATTACAAGGAAAACTAACCACCCAGCAGTGATGCAGAAAAACCAGGAAGCAGATAAGCATACCTGAAAATTTTACACAGAATTAACCATTATGAGAATATTTCTTTCTGTAAAAGGGAATAACTCCTCAACATGTTTGAAAGATAATTTTCTCACAATAACTTCGATTATTTTCAGAGAGTAAATTCATTGCACATATAATGAATGTAACTAGAATAAAATCTGGTTTCATTCTCAACAGAAACAACACTGGAAACAGAGAAATTTGGGAGCCGAAGATCTTAGCCTCTATACAAATAAACACGTGATAAGTATTTACATGAAATATGATTAAAGAAAAGCGTGGTTACTTGAATGCAGTTGCCACTGGACCTATGCCGAAAACTGAAGCCACAATAATCTCCCTAATTAATCCCTGCGATGAAAAACAATAACAATTACATCAAAAATTAAGCAAGAACAATCAAAATGTTGAGGTGGTTTTAATCGTTAAAAATCACTAGAATCTTGCTTGTGATGGTAGCCAAACCAATCCACGCAGCATGTTGAATCAAGCCAATGTCTACAAAATCACCCAAATATTAAAGCATTCTAGGGTTACAGACACACATTTATTTGTATATGTATATATATCGAGAGTCTAGGGTTGGGGAATAGTACCAGAGGGCATCGAATTGGTGTCATCATCTTCGACCTTGAACTCGGATTGGAATGCGTGGCTTGAAGAAGTTTCCACCGAGTCGACGGGAAGGAACAGCTTCAGAGAGAGAGAGAGAGGGTGGAGCTCACCTTAGTAGACGATGGTGCAGATAATGGTGCAGACGATGGTGCAGATGGTGGAGACCGATCTGAATCTCTGACGCTCTGCGATGAAATCACTGAGATGAAATCGCTCTGAATCTCTAAATCTCTGAGATGAATCTCTGAATCGCTCTGATAAGGGTTTAGAGAGGGTTGAGAGAGAGAGAGAGAGAAAGAGAGAGAGTGGAGCTCACCTTCGTTGGTGCTTGCTACCTCGCTCTGAGAATGAATAAGCGGTGGAGCTTCGAAATCGCTCTGAGATTTAGAGAGAGAGAGAGCGCGCTCGAGATCCAAGTCTTAGGTGAGTCTCAGATTCAAAATTAGGGTTTGAAAAGGGGGGAGACCATGCGCGTGAATCACAACGCATTTGGAGGCGTTTTTCAACGCCTCAAAACGGTATCGTTTTGTTAAACAAATATGCTGCGTTTTATAAAACGTCGTTAAATATTAAAAAAAGTGACGTTTTAAAAAACGTCGCTAAAAAAACGTCGCCTAAACTCCTTTTTCCTGTAGTGCCTCTGTGACTAAAATACCATTTCAATAATATGATAATTTACGACTTACCTCATTAAACTATTGCTCAATATCATTTTATCTTCTTAATTAAAAAATTCAAAATTTTTTAATCTTAATTATTAATTTGCATCAATGTAAACATTCTATTAAGTACTTGTTTTATAAATAGATTAAAAATTGATATGTAAGTTGCATATGACATCTCAAATAGAATACTTAAAATGATATTATTAGTCTATTTGATTTAGTTTTTAAAAGCTATTTTTAAGTTTTTGAGTTTTTTTATTTTTTATTTTTGTTAATCTGTGTTTCATAATATTTTTTTTTGAGATACTTTTGTTATTAAAATTCAAATCGGAAAAAATAAATAGACGAGGGGGTTGAGTGTTATAATTTTTTAAAGTGGTGAAATGATGTGGAACAATAGTTGAGGGGGTTAAAATGTAATTTGCCCATATTTATTTTAAATTGATAAATACATAGATAAATTACAATCACACTCCTTAAGGTTTGTTTAAAATATAAATTGCGTCCTGTAATTCTGAAAATTACATCCCACTCCTTCCAATTTCAAATCACATAACAAATTACCCATTTTATATATAAATCATTAAGTGCATTTATAGTTTTAATAAGGTCAGAAATATATTTTTAATTTTAATAATTTTATTGTTGCATAGTAGATAATAATTAAAACATCTAACAAGGGAAGTATTTATAATTTCTAAAATTATAGAGAACAATTTATTTTTTAAACAAATTTTAGGGAGTACATTTGTAATTTACCCTAAATAGAATATGTAGAGATAATAAAAATAAATAAATAATAAATAATAATAATAAAAAAAAAGATAGACTTTGTAACTTACCCTAAATACAATACGTAGAGATAATAAAAAAAAGAAAAAAAAGAAAGATAGACAGACAGAATTTTAAAAAATAGAAATACAAGTTCTCAAGCACTTCTTATATATATATATATAGATATTAGTTATAAAAATAAAATTAAAAAAGGAGTATTTACACATAAATCCTATTTTATAAATTTATATTCTAGTAAGTTCAAAATTAGATTTTTTTTTTTTTTGGACCTTTAAGTTCTATTAAATTTTTAATAATTAGAATTACCATTCAAATAATAATTGCTCATCATTTGTGACTGTCTATAAAGAAATATGATTATGTGACATTTATTTTGATTCTTAAAACTTTAAAACATCAATCTTAAAACTAAAAAAATTATGTGCAAAATTTAAAATTTTTTGAAAAAATTTAAATAACTAAATTTTCTTTATACAAAACTAAAAATTTTCTATTTATAAAGGAGCATGATGATGGAACACTATTGTGCAAAACTGAAAAAATTGATAATGTTCTAACTTTTAAAACTGGAAAAAGAAAGAAAGAAAGAAAGAAAGTTGTAATGTTCTTAATTTTAAAACTTGAAGAAACTAAATTTCTCAGTTTCACTGGATCGTTTCACAAATTGAGAAATTGTCAAATTTCGTATAGCTAAAAAAATAATATTTTATTTTTATAAAATTCAATATTGGTCTTGTTTATCATTTTGTGGACTCTAGAAATATAAATTTTATTAAAAAAAAAAATGTGTATAATAAAACTATGAAGTTTTGTAAGTTTTAAAATAACAAAATAAAAGTAATAAGCTAGGAGAAGTAATCTAGTGTTCTTGGGGCATGGTCATGTGTTGCCTAGAAGAGCTGTGATTGATGGAGATGGTGGAGTCCACAATTTTGTGTTGGGGTATGGGACATAATCTTTGGTAATTGGTGGATAATTTTGTCGTGAAGTGCACTTGAAACACTTAATAATTTTTCATAACACTTAATAAATTGACATTTTAAATCCTTCCGCTTTTTAATAAAAGTAAAGTAGTCATATAAATAAAAATCTATTGAAAATAGGACCTTATTGGTTAAAAACAATGGAGTCGGACTTAAAGGAACATCAACCTTATAAATTTTGCGTAATTAATCCTTAAAAAAAAAGCACGTGCAAGGCACGGTCAAATGTTAAAATGAAAAGATTATATAAAATATATATATATATAAATTAATGTGATTAATTAAGTAGATTTTCGCATTTTTATAAAAGTAAAGCAGTCATATAAATAAAAATCTATTGAAAATAGGACCTTATTGGTTAAATGAAATATTTTAGGACTTAAAGGAACATCAACCTTATAAATTTTGCCTAATTAATCCTTAAAAAAAAAAAGACACGTGCAAGGCACGGTCAAATGTTAAAATGAAAAGATTGTATAAAAAAATTATAAATTAATTAGATTATTTAAGCTGATTATTTGTGTACTCTCTTTTATGAGAAGCATAGGCGACTTCGCTTATAAATTTTAAGCACCAAAATTTAATTGAAATATTTTTATTTGTTTTATATATCTTAATATTTTAATATTTTATTTTAAATATGTAAAAATAAATGCAACATCAATTATAGGGTAAATTACACTTTATTCCGCTCAACTATTGGCCGTATAAAAATTGTAATAGTTAACCTCCATCATCTATTAATTTTTTTTAATTTGAACTTTTATGACAAAAATACCGTTTCAGCAATAGGATAATTTACACATTACCACCTTGAACCATTATCCAATATCACTTGACCTCCTCAACTAAAAAATGCTACTACATTTTTTCACGTTAAACTAATAATTTGTATCAATGTAAACATTCTGTTAAGGACTTATTTTTTAAATAGATAAAAAGTTGATATATGAGTTGCACTTGCACATCTAAAATGGAATACTTACAATTGGTTTAAATCTCAAAATCTATTTTTAAGTTTTTAATTTTTTTTAATCTCTAATGAACGTTTTTCATATTAAAAAATAAAAAATAAAAAATATAGATACTTTTGTCATTTTAAGATTAAATTGAAAAAAAGTTAACAGATGAGGGGGTTTAGTGTTATAATTTTTAGTTTAAGGGGTAAAATGCACACTCCAAGTTTTGCTTAAAATATGAATTACTTCGTATGGTTCCTAAAATTACATCTCGCCCCTTCCAATTTCTATTCACATAATAAATTATTCATTTTATTTTTAAATCATTAAGTCAATTAATAATTTTAATGATATGATAAATATATTTCAATTAACAATTTTAATAATTTTATTATTGTTTAAGAGGCAACAATTAAAAATTCTGACAAGGAAAGTATTTATAATTTCTATAATTATAGAAAACAATATGTATTTTAAACAAATCTCAAAGTTGTATTTGTAATTTATCCTAAATTTTTTAGATAAAGATCAATACCGATAACTATAATAACAGCAAAAATAAGGGCAAAATTGAAAAGATTGGCTAAAATAATTTTCAAAAAAAATTGTGACGGAAATCTAAATTGATCAAGTGATTATCAATATCTGATCAACGTCATTTTAATGTAAAGATGACGTGCTCGACGAGTGTAACACATTAAATGATTTTGATCATTAGCATGAGCCTGAATTTGGGCCCACCAGTGCCGAACAGCTTCCTCCAATTATTGGAAAGGAACCGGGTCCTTACAGACCATGACTCGTAGTTTTTATTGTGTAATGAGATAACGCTGGACTGAGACATCCATTTTTTATTTTGAACTATACTAGCATCTTGCTGCTTCTGATATAATTCTCCATGGCTACAACATCACAAGCTTCCTTTGTCTGAATTGGATTCTCCCAACAAAGAGAGATGGCATATGCCATTTTTTACAAAGAGTAACAACAAGGTTTCTCATATTACATCTTACATTCCATCCAATAGAGTCATTACCAGTATGATTGTTAAACCAAATCCATACTGTTATGAAAGTAGAGAGAGCAGAGAAAAGAGAAACTCTATATTGAATTGAATGAATAATACAATAGAAGAAGCCTGTATATATAGGCAGAAAAGAAACCTAGATAGGTACAAAAAAATATAGAGATACAAGAAGATAGAGATAAGTATAGAAGGAGATAGAGATAAAGATATATCTACAGTACAAATAGATAAGTATAATAATATACAACTATAATAATATACAGCTAACATCCCCCCTCTCAAGCTCAATGTGGTAAGGCAGATATCAACTTGAGCTTGGAGAGGAGATTAGAGAAGTAGCCTGGAAGATGGGCTTTGGTGAAGAGGTCAGCAGTCTGGTCAACAGAGGTAACAAAGAGAAAACTAACAAGGCCACTAGTAACATGCTGGCGTATGAAATGGCAATCAATCTCAATATTCTTGGTGCGATCATGGAAGACATCGTTATGTGCAATCTGAATAGCACTCTGATTGTCACAATAAAGATTGGTGGCAGCAGAATGAGAAACTCCCATGTCAGAAAGAAGCCAACGAAGCCACACAAGCTCGTGAGTAGTGTCAGCAAGAGCACGATACTCAGTCTCGATACTAGAACGAGCAACAAGTGTTTGCTTCTAGCTACGCCAAGAAATGAGAGAGTTGCCCAAGAAAAAGCAGAACCCAGTAATGGAACGACAGTCTGTAGGATCCCATGCCCAATTGGCATCAAAAAATGCATGCAGCTGTAAAGAAGAGTGAGAGGAGTAGTGAAGACCATGAAATAGAGTTCCATTAAGATAGCGAAAAATGTGAACCAGAGCGTCATAGTGTGGAGAACAATAAGCAACCATGAACTGACTGACAATGTGAACAGCATAAGCAATATCTGGATGAGTAGCCATGAGATAGATAAGACTGCTAACTAGCTGATGATATAAAGTGGCATCAGTCAATAGGGGATCGTCAAGGGGTGTAAGACGAGTTTGAGGATCAACTGGA